TGAAGAAGAAAAATGACTAATAAAAGATTCTCTCACTTTATATTCTCAGGTCCCTTTCTTACATGTAGCTATTTTTGACCATCTCTGTTTTTAGTTCTTCTGGTGATATAAGTTCTATGTTTTTGTATTTCTTAATATGTCATCTCTAAGAAAAATCTATTGTTTCTCCGCAATGTAAGAGTTACTTTCTCGTTCCACTTCCTACTCAAGAGTTTATTTTCATATTATAAATTTAGTTAGTAAAAGTTAAGCTTTATTTCAGTATCCAACTCTTTTAAATTACCGTCTTTCAACTACATATAATGAATGATGAAGTTAGCAACCATTAACTATTTTTTTTTCCTCCTGAGTAGCTCGGATTACAGGGCTCTGCCACTACCCCCAGTTAATTTTTGTATTTTTGGTATAGATGCAGTTTCACCATGTTGGCCAGGCCGGTCTCGAACACTGACCTGAAGTGATTCACCTGCCTTGGCCTCCCAAAGTTCTGGGTTACAGGCGTGAGCCACTGCACCCGGCCAGCAACCATTAACTTTTGTCCAATTTCCTCCACTTTCACAAATTATATCTGATATGCTAGTACTTTGATAATTTCAGTTATTAAAATGTATATTTTAATTTATACATTAAATATACATTTTAATAACTGAAATTACTAAAGTAATTATTAAATGTATATTTAATGTATATATTAAATGTATATTAGTTAGAATTATCTTTAATTTTTTACTATAGATTCATTAAATGTAATTATTAAATGTATATTTAATGTATACATTAAAATGTATATTAGTTAGAATTACCTTTAATTTTTTACTATAAATTCATTCTGAAAGTTGATTTCAATGAATAGAATTTATAATATTATGATTATGTAACTACTATTGACTATATTCTGGTTGGGTTTGTGCATAAAAATATAATTTCTTACATGGTAAAATAACTAAGAGTATATTGGAATGTTTACATCACAAAGAAATAGTAAATGCTTGAGTGGATAGAAACCCCATTTACCTTGATATAATAATTATGCATTGTATGCCTGTACCAAAATATCTCTTGTACCCCAAAATATATATACACATACTACATATCCACAAAAGTTAAAATATATACATAGTTCTTTACTTCTAGCAAAATTTTGCTGTCTGAAGTGATATATGCACACATGAAGAATAGGATTCTATTGTCTTAAATGTAATGTCTTTTTTAGAATCATGCTATATTTTTGTTTGCTTTATTTCAACAGACTTTAAATAATGTTCTATTTTTCCAAGCATTTTAAACTGCCTTTATTTTTATTATTTTTATCAAAAATGCTTTTTGTTGTATAACTTATGTACTCTAGCTCTTTCATCACATTATGTCTTGAATGTTGCAATATGTAGTCACATTGTTCTAGGTCCCTTGGCCAGCTATTATTCTGAAATTTCTTTTTGTTGTATTCCTATCTGAGGCACAATATGTCTTGAATTGTAATTTATGCCCAGCAATTTCTCTTTCTTGAAACCCTCTTTCATTTTGCTCTTCCAATAAGTTTAAAAGAAAACACATGAAGGTACATTTTCTGAATTCTTACATGTCTGAAATGTCTTCATTTTTCCTTCTTATTAGATTGGTAATACAAATGGCCAGATGATTCAATATGCAGAATCATTTTCTGCAAATATTAAAGACATTTTACCACTGTCTTTCAGAATGCAGAATTGCTAATAAGAAATAAAATGCTGACATTTTGCAGGTGGGGAGAAGAAAGTTCTATATTTCTAGGATCTTCTCTTGATTTTTGTTCTGAAATTTAACCAAAAGTATGTAAATATGTGAAATTGCATTTGTCCTTTATGATATATTTAATTCTGAAGTCTCCTACCTTTAGTAGTCATAGAATGGTTCAGGTTACCTTTTTAATTATTCCCTCTCCTCTCTTAACTCCTCTTTTTCTGGAAAATATGAATATGGATATTGAATCAGTTTGTTCAGGCTGCCATAACATAACAAAATATCCTAACAACCGGATATCTTGTAAACAACTATTTTTTTCTCACAGTTCTGGAGACTGGAAAGTCCAAGATCTGGGCAGTGGCAGGTTTGATGCCTGATGAGTGCCAGTTTCGTATTTATAGATGACGCTATCTTCTCTCTGTCCTCATGTGGTGGAAGGGGCTAGCTAGCTCTCTGAAGTCCCTTATAACGTCACTAATACCAGTCATGAGGACTCTGCCCTTATTATCTAATCACTGCCGAAATGTCTCACTTTCTAACACCACCAAGCTGGGGGTTAGGATTTCAACACAGGAATTTGGCGGGGTGGGGGAGGGAGGTGACACAAACATTTCGACCATAGCAGTGACCTTCTGTATTAATCTTCTATGTCTCTCTTTTCCTTTTGTGTTTCCTTTTTTTTTCTTATTTTTCATCCGAATTGGGGGAGATAACTTCATTTTTTTCTTTTAACACATTAATTTTGGTTTTATATTCACAATTATAGTTTTACTTTCTATGAACTCTTAATCTCTGATTGCTTCTTTTAAATGATAGTTTTTTTTTTCATATATACCATATATCTTTTGGAATCTTTCTGAGAATGCCAATTATAATTTGTTGTTGAATTCTTTTTATTTCCTCTGTTATCAGTATGTGTATTAGTCAACTTGGGCTGTCATAACAAGATATTATAGACTAGGTGGCTTTAATAACAGACATTAATTTTCTCATAGTTCTGGAGGCTGAAAGTCCTAAATCAGGGTCCCAGCATGACTATGTTCTAGTGAGAACTCTCTTTCTGGCTTGCAGATGACTGCCTTCTTGTTGGACTCTTACGTGGCAGAGAGAGAAAGTCTCTCATTCTTCCTCTTCTTAAAAGGCCAACAATTGTGTTGGATCAGGACCCCATCCTTATGACCTCATTTAACTTACTTACCTCATAAAAAAAGCCCTAACTCCAGAAACGGTCACATTGTCAGGCAGAGCTTCAACATGAATTTTGGAGGAACACAATTCAGTTCATTGCAGTATATAGTCTGTTTTTCTTGTTTCTCTTGTTATTGTTTTATTCATCTTCCTCAGTGCTTATTGTTTGCACATATTAATGAAGGACTAAACGTATTTATGTACATGGCTTGTTTTGGTTTTCTCTGCTATCACATTACTACCCCCTGGATGAGTGTGGTGATTGCAGGTGCCATATATGTGGAAAACTTGGAGTATGGAAAACCAACTTCTTTTTCTGCTCCCCCTCCTTGCCCATTAGAAAGTGAAAGGAGGAAAGGGAGCTTTGTCAATAAAAAGAAGATAGCATCTACCTACATTAAGCATTCTCTTGTGCGATGTGATCTATGACTTCCTCTATTTAGGTGAACCTGTTTTTGATAATTCATCTTCCTTCACTGCATTTCTCTTGATGTAGGACTTTTGTCCTTGCTGATATTTCAATGATTGACTGAGGATAGGAGGAAGAAGCCAAAGGCACAATGTGTGCCCACTCTATCATGTTGAACTAGTAATTTTTAAAAAATGCATATGTCTGGGAGGCCAAGGCAGGTGGATCACTTGAGGTCAGGAATTTGAGACCAGCCTGGCCAACATGGTAACACCCCATCTCTGCTAAAAATATAAAAATTAACCAGGCGTGGTGGCAGGTGCCTGTAATTTCAGCTACTGGAGAGGCTGAGGCAGGACAATCACTTGAACCTGGGAGGCGGTGGTTGGAGTGAGCCAAGATCACACCACTGCCTTCCAGCCTGAGCAGCAGAAAAGGAATTTCCTTTTCTTCTATGGAGGCTTCTTAATAAAAGAAAAATTGCAAATAAGAGGGTAATCAGATTAAAATTTTAAACATTTCCATTTCCCGAGTGAATGCATTCAACATTTGTAATATATAAACAGTATATGAGCAATATGTGTCCATATCCAGGCTGGGTGGGGTAGGGAACAGGGTGCATTTTTATCTTTGAAAAAAAAAAAAAAGAATATGTCATTAACTTTTTAGGTCATAAAAATCTGTGAAGAAACAATATATGGGTGAACCATTTTTAACGAAATTACTTGTAAATTACTGTGGTAACAACTTGTAGCACATGCCTTGTAGCACATGAACAATTAGAGAAATGGTTGTTGATGTAAAAACCACCATCGCCTCCTAACATTTATTGAACATGTCTTATGTCAGGCACTGTTCTGAGTACTTAACATTCATTAAATTCATTAATATGTACAAGAATCCTGTGAGTTTTATACCACTATTAACTCTATCAACTACATGTTGTAGATAAGGAACCTGAACGTAAAACAATTAAGAGACTTGCCCCCAGGTGGAACAGCTACTAAATGACAGAGCCAAGATTAAATTCTGTAGTCTGGCCCTGGAGCCTGCACACTTAATTACATCACATGAAAATATTATTATCACAAAAATGAATTTTAATCTGTAAAAATTGAAAAACGTATTGGTTGTTCTATAGTCATTAATATTAAAATGTTTATTTTAAACAAATTCAATAATAATTTTCTTGAGAAGGGTTACTCAAATAAGATGTGTCAGTGTTATTTTCTATAGTAAGAACACTAGACCTAGGTCCACCCCTAGCATTACTGCCAACTAGTTCTATTAATTTGTTTACCTTCTCTTCAGTTTTATTTTCTGTTGCATGTTCATTTCATTCCACATAGAATATATATTGAATACTACATTACAGTCTCTATTATAAGAACACCGGAGACATTAATGAACAGAAGAAAGAGCCATTTTCTTCAGGGTTCTTATATTCTAGTGGGAGACACAGTCCACAAGTAAATATAAACTCAATATAGACTTCTGCTGCCAGCAATGCAAACAACTTATTTCTAAGCAATTCTTCCACTGAGACAGGACACCTAAGCAAAATATAAAATATCACTTGTTATGAAGCATGCGAGAGATATTCAAGTGAGATTTGTGGGAGTCAAGATCTGGAAAGAAGGGAAAACACCTAAATAGATGATACTGCCAGCTGAAGCTGCTTTTCCCCTTAGTGTGTTTAATTCCAAAGCAGCTGTTGAAACGCTGAGTGCCTGAGCAGGAAGCGGAAGCTGACAGGCTGAGATGGTCAGGAAGCAAAACTTAGAAATAAGGCCTGCCAAGAGACAAACTCCCTGGCTTTCAGTTGAGACCCTGAACGGCTAGGAGTTAAGAATCAGCTAGTAATAGCCCAGGCCTCGGAAGGATGGAAGACCCGTTTTGGATAAGGTAGGGGCCTTTAAAATAGTTTGTCTGATACCCCAACTGAATGCCAGAAGCAAAACAGGACATACTGATGATTCAAAGCAATGATAAGGATTGTTGGAGACTTTCTGGTAGAATAGAAGACAGGGGAAGAAAATGCCAGTCCTGCTGAGGGTTGAATGATTATGAGGTTCATACTGGGTTGGAAAAGGAGTGAAAGCAGGAGAGGATTCATTAGCCCAGGAGAATGGGAATGGCTTTTAAACTGTAGGTCATGGTGACCAGATGCAGGAGGTTGTGAACCAAAAGCTAGTTTTTCCAGCTGAACAGTTCAAAAGTTGGTAATGATAAACTTCAGAGCACGGCAAAGTCAGTGGTTTGCTGGAGTGAAAGAGAAGGCGATTAAACAAGAAACTATGTGCTTAGGTAGTTGGAGGAATTATCCAAATTGGATTGTGAAATTGCAAAGGATGCTAGCAGGAGTAAAAATTGAACAGAGTCCAAAGCCTCTTAGAATCAGAAGTATTAAAAATGTTATATAATTAATATTTCTTTAAGGAGATTTTAACGTTACCAGATAAAACATTCAGAAGGAAAAAAGAAAAACCCATGTATCTCTTCGTCTAAGGGTCAAGTTTTTTCTCTCACCCCCTTCAAATTTTTTATTCTTTAATCTTTAAGAAAAAATACATTTTGAGGAAAAGGGATCTTTTAATTACTTTAAAAATCCAGCCAAGTATTGAGAGCAGACAACTTTAAATTTCATAGCTATTATTTTATTGTAAGTAAATTGCTATACTTCACAGTAATTTCTGACCATGGAATAATGGCCTAAGCTCACTGTACAACATCTGTTATACCCTATGTTGACTAAAAATCAATTAGAATTTTTAATTATTTTTGCAACATCTGCATAACAATCTAATTCAAAGCCAACATAAATAGTCCTTTTGGTGATGGTATATAATGACACATTCGTAACTTAAGAAAACTGCCCTTTCCCGTAGTATAAGATTTGAAAATATTCAGCTTGCCTTTCCTGATTTAGTTACCAGATTTTATTTATGTAGTTAATAGTACACACTGTTATATTCTAATAGATTGTGAAATCATATATAAGAATCACTTTTTAAATTTTCTGAACACATCTTTTGACTCTAGCACTTAATTTTCTTTTTCTTTTTTTTTTTTATTTATTTTATTTTATTTATTTATTTATTTTTTTGGGATGGAGTTTCACTCATGTTACCCAGGTTGGAGTGCAATTCTGTGATCTCGGCTTACCGCAACCTCCGCCTCCTGGGTTCAGGCAATTCTCCTGCCTCAGCCTCCTGAGTAGCTGGGACTACAGGCACGCACCACCATGCCCAGCTAATTTTTAGTAGAGACGGGGTTTCACCATGTTGACCAGGATGGTCTTGATCTCTTGACCTCGTGATCCACCCGCCTCGGCCTACCAAAGTGCTGGGATTACAGGCTTGAGCCACCGCGCCCGGCCAGCACTTAATTTTCTTAACAAACTATTTTTCATAGTTGGCCAACAGTTTTAAATAATCCTTATATAATTAATTGCTGATAATGTAATTTTCATCCTTCTGGCTAATCCTGAGCCACTGCAAGTGCTGTTTAAATCTTCTGATTAGGAGAGTCAGATGCAAACAGAAATACAGAGTGACCAGAAACTCCAGAGACAAAGTTGGATGCTCATTTCTAATCAACAGATTCTAATCAACTCACATTTCAGTATTTAATCCTTAATTAATTCTGATTACCTGGAACAATCATTTTTATTTCCCTGTGGTAATTTTTGACATCTGTTATTCAACAGGATGCTATTATTTAAAATGAAAACAAAAATAAAACTTTCACCAAAATTGCATTAATCTCTAGATGATTGGTACATGTGATTGATCTCTATTGTTTGCATTCTAAATATTATTGCATTTTGGTAAACAGTAGCTATTTTTCAGCACTAAAAGCTCAGCCATTAATTTTCTGCCTGTATAGAATTCTCTTGAAATATTGCACTATCTGTTTCTTACTGCTCTAATTGCTGTAGGAATTTCCTTTTAATACATATTTTGTACATATTTTTATATATTTCTTAAATTTTTCCAAGTAACTGGTAAGTTTATGATTTCTTCTATTTTCAGAGTTTGGAATTATCTTAATTTTGTCATAAATTTCTGTGAACATTTGTTTTGCTTGTATAAAAAGGATTTGATAATTTTCTAAGCACTCCCAGAGGCTTTGAATAAGTAATTTGGGTAATAACATGATGATATTTATGAAATACATAAAACTCAAAAGTTTAGGGTAATCTAAAGCAGTGTGAATCAAACTTTAATGTTCATACATGTCCCCTGGGGATCTTGTTAAAAATCAGATTCAGATTTTGTAGGAAGGAGGTTAGGTCTGTGATTATATTAATACATTTCTAATAAGTTGTCTGGTGATGCCTAAGCTGCTAGTACTGGGATCCTAATTTGAGAAACAAATAAATAATTTTATGTTCTGACATGTTTATCAAGTAAAACTGAATTTCAGCAAGTTTATTAATTTTCTCTGCTTGTAGGTTATATGCTATCACTCTTTCCTTTCACCATAGTACTTTGTAGAAAAACTATCTAATCTTATTTATCTAATTTTTTGTCAGCCCTGCTGCTACCATTTACAATCAAATTTTTGCCTGGATTACTTTCCATGACTGTTTTCTTGATGTTCCATATGAACTTATTCATCTCCAAATTCATCACAAATAACTGGTGGCTATTTGTGGTCACTGGTTATAGGAAATTAAGGAGTAAAGGACAAAGCCAAGCTTTCAAGGAGACAAGGAGCACTCTACATCAGAGTAACCTTGATAAGAAAATCTGTGGTGCTAGAGTTATTGGCATTTAAGGAGCTAAACATGGTATTGGGCAGGAAGGAAAATCCCATGTGCCAAGAAGGATATTCTGAAATGAGCACCTTCTGTTACACATGAATATGTTCTCATGCTGCTAGATAATGTTAAACTGTACTAATTAAGTTCATGTTAATCCCTCACCCTTACGGTAGTTGTAACTCTTACAATCACCAGACATATATGTATATATGTGAGCTATACCTGGTCATCTTTATTTTTCTCTTGGTCAGTTGTGAAGTAGGCAAAGATGCAGTGTGCAACATGGGACAGTATCTATTTAACAGCTCTATAAACACACATCTGTGTGTGTGTGTGTGTGTGTGTGTGTATAAATTGTGTATATGTTATACACACATAACCATAATAATGTTTCTGCAGTTTGCCTTCCCATTTGATCACTGAGGTCAATGTATGGTCAATTTCTATCCATACCCTGTATTCTTTATTTTCCCTTTCATCTATTTCTTATTTGTTCTGAAATCTTTTTGCATTGCACCTAACTGGTGCAAAGTTTTTTCTTGCTTTTCCCACAAACTAAAACTCGCTGAAACATTATTCATCAACACAATGCTACTAGTATCACTAAAGTCTTTAGTTATGTAAATGCTTATCTGTAAAGTTAGTGAGGAGATGAGACTAGCTGAATATCTGATAAGAGTATTTACTCCTCAGGAAACTGAGTACCAATACTTATATTCAGAGTTGATTGTATTAGTTATATAACAAGATATTACTTGTGAATTTTTATTTTCTTAAAACAGCTCACAGCAATACTTTATACTTTTACAGGATTTTGTTTTGTTTTGGCATAATTATGTTACCTTGAAATAACCTTAAAAGCAATTAAATGATAGTCTAGTATTTTTAAAATTAAAGGTTATTTATTGATTTAATTTATATTTTTCTTGACTTTTTTATTTATTTGAGATATGTTGTTTTCTTCCCATATTAATTAATTAAATGTCAAGCCTTATATTGGTAATCATCAATTATAGTTTCAAAAGGAGGTTTGTTTAAAATGGTTTTGTGTATCCCTTTTCTGCAGTGACTTCCACTGTAAGTTCAGGTTGTTTAATAAAGACATTGACATATTATTGATCTATGAAATGTCATGCCAATTTCTAATTGCTTGATTTCAGTATAATTCCATGTTATATTTTTATTCATTCAGTTGTTCATTGAATGAGTTGTTCAGCAATTCATATCAACATTATCATTTATGTCTATTAGTCAATACACTGCAATGCATACAGCTCAATTGTAGGACTATTATCATAGAAATGTACTCATTTTACCAGTCTCTGTTTTTTTGTGTGTCTCACAAATCATTCTTGTATTGTAAAATGAAATTTCTGATAATAGGTATATGCCACAGATCTGTAAGTTTATTTAATTGATTCCTATGTTTTTCATACTACATTTTAAGTTTCTTTGCTTTTTGTTTGGAAATCCATTTCCTCAAAGTTTAAAAAAAAACACATGATTGTCTTGAATGGTGTTGCCTAGGTTATTTTCCAGGTTTTCGTAGTTTTGGGTTTTACCTTTAAGACGTTAATACATCATGAGTTAATTTTTGTATATGGTATAAGGAAGGGGTCCTGTTTCAGTCTTCTACATATGGCTGTCCAGTCATTCCAGTATTATTTATTGAAAGGGAGTCCTTTCCCTGTTGCTTGTTTCTGTCAGATTTGTCAAAAATCAGATAGTTGTAGGTGCGTGGTCTTATTTCTGGGTTCTCTATTCTGTTCAATTGGTCTATGGGTCTGCTTTGGTACCAGTACTATGCTGTTTTGGTTATGGTAACCCTGTAATGTGGTTTGAAGTCAGGTAGTGTGATGCCTCCAGCTTTGTTCTTTTTGCTTAGGATTCAGTCATTGTGGAAGATAGTGTGGCAATTCCTTAAAGACCTAAGGATTTGACCGAGCAATCCCATTACTGAACATATACCCGAAGGAATATAAATCATTCTGTTATAAAGTTACATGCACACATATGTACATTGCGGCACTATTCACAACAAAGACATGGAATCAACCCAAATTTCCATCAATGATAGACTGGTTAAAGAACATGTGGTACATATACAGCATGAAATACTATGCAGCCATAAAAAAGA